GGCCACTGTGTGGATGCTGTTATACAGTGAGACCTTGCTAGCTGGGTGTGAGAGTTTGGGCCTTGTTTTTCACTCTGGATTTTGGGTGGCTGATTTGTTCTTGCTGTGTGGCCAGAATGCCTCTGTATGTCCCTATCTTTGGCTGTATCTTTCTGACAATAAAGTGACGGATCCTCCAGCCACCTCCTGTGTTGTCCATGTCTATTGAGATGTGTCTGAGTGTTACTGGTTTAGTCTGGCAGTTGGCCAGCTTTACACGTGGACATCAGAAAGCCTGAGACATTCTTACATGTTCCTGAACCTCACAGCACTGTTACACAGTGTGAGAAGACCTGGGGCATGTGGAGGTACCACACCTTTGAGCATTAGTTCCCACTTCAATGCCCAGGAAGTCAACTGCGTTTCTGTGTGGGGCTGCTTATTTCTCCAAAGCAGTGTGGTGGGAGGAAACTTGTCACAGGGTGCTGATAAATCAGTAGTGCTGGGTTTTGGGATGTGAACTCTGATGCTTCTAGGTAAACTTCGGAAGACCGCCTTTGCATTCTTTGTGGGGTCTTGTCCTTAGTCTAGTGATGCACACTGGATGTATGCTTTGCCACTCCTACCCAGCAAATTTTCACACATGCACAAATTGGAAGGGAGGCTTCCTGGCCCTGAACCAATCAGAATTCTCGATCCTGTGTTTCCTCTGTGTTCTGTGGCTTTGGCCTGCCTACTGCCTGGTGGAACACATGGTTGACTATTCAGTGATAGGCTGTTCATGGCTCATGTGCTGCTCTGAGCTGCTTTCCTTTTTTTTCTTTTTTCTTTTTTTTTTTTCTTTTTTTTTTGAGATAGGGTCTCACTATGTAGTTCAGGCTGGCCTTGAATTCACTATGTGGCCAAGGCTGGCTTTAAACTTGGTGATCCTCTTCCCTCAGCCTCTGCACCCAGCTTTTCTGGCATTTTCATCTTTTGGTTGAGTGTGGACTCATAGTAACTGAAGTACTGCCAGTACTCTAGTTTTTGCATCATTTTTATAAAACAGAGTAACCACTGGGATATAGAGCAGGTAAATAAGCAGACTGTCAGCTGGCCTGTGGTGCCCAGCTCCACCCAAGTCTCTGCTGTTTGCTAGTGATGTTAAGTGGGTTCAGGTTTAGTGAGGTAGCTGGGGTGGATGTCGGCTTTTTTTTTTTTTTTTTTGTTCACATGACTCCTGAGTGGTTCTTAGTGCATACCTGCCCATGTGTGACATGTTCAGCATGTGCTTCCTTTCTAATTACAAAACACAAAGTAAGAGGTTTTTTCGTAAGGGGAATTTTTTTTTTTTTCAGCAAATGACTTGATCCCTGCCGGGTATACAACCCACTCCAGCAACCCTTGCCTCAAGGTTAGTGATACCTCAGTGATAGGACGCTTGCCTAGCATACGCAAAGTCTAGGTCACCATAAAACAGCAAGCAGGGGCCAGCCAGATAGCTCAGTGGACTAAAGCGCCTGCTTAGGCAAGTGCAGAGCCTGGGGATTTGCTCCCCAGCGTGTCGTGCTGGTCCCACTCCTGGGGCACGCTAAGACGTTGACTGAGACTGGGCATAGTGTTGCGTGCCTGTAATCCTAGTGTTTGGGAGGCTGAAAAAGGGAAGATTTTCACTGAATCCAATCTGTGTAGTGAGACCCTGTATCACATACACAAAAAATAACTTTAAAGACCCAGGAAGTAGGGAGTCCCTAGACGCTAGGCAGCAGGGCCAGGGAAGCAAACTGGTTAGGTGGTGGTGGGTGAGAGCGTGAGTCCACAGTGTTTGCTGTGTGTCCTTGGGGAAATTACTTGGTTTCCCTCAACTTAGTTTTCTACCTTCAGTAGGCTTGCCTGGTGTGCAGCAGGGACACAGGAAGTGGCTGGGATGCTCAGAGCCTCTGGCCGGCACCCTGCCCCATGTGAGCAGTTGCACTTCATCCTGTCCTATGGTACAGAGTTGGTGCCCACCACTGCTGCCTGTACCCTATGGCCACCCAGGAGAGATGGGCTGTCCCGGGCCAGTGGGGGCAGGGAAGGAGGCTCTCTGTTGGAGGATAGGAGGCATCAGGTGAGAGCCTGGTTTCTGTCTGTCTGGCCCACTGAGTGGGCACTGTTTCACCAGCCTCCTTCACCGTGGCCACTGAGTACCAAGTAAGAGTGGGGTGTGGATGAATTTTGGCTTAAGTGTGCCAGACTGCCGCACTAGGTGCCCTTGGCAGGGCCTGGTTGGCCTGGTGGGGAACGTCCTTACCTTGCTTCTGCTCCCTTTGTCCCTCCCACCCCCCACCTCACTGCAGATACCTTCAGTTGACTTTCCATCTGGTTATGACTAGCTCAGGCTGGTTCTTGTGTGGGGCCAGCAGTGAGTGACACTGAGTTCTGAGTGTCAGTGTGGTTGGCTTAAAAAGGGAAGAGTGTGTGTGTTGTCTGCCCAAGGGACAGACAGAGCTGGCAGCAACTGAGGCCAGAGTTAGGAAGGTCAGTGAGAAGCAGCAGGACCCCTTTTCCAGGTACTGTAACCTTGTTGAGGACTCTTCTGGCCAGGCCTAAAGTCACACCTACTCTGTGCCTGGCAGGGTCACTGGCCTGGATGGTCCGGTTGTCTCTGTTCTGTAAGAGCCAGGGAGCGGGTTTTATTCTGCTGTGGGTTCTTAAGGCAGGGGTGGGTCCTGAGAGTCTGCGTAAGAAGCAGGGGTGTTGATGATACCTGTGCATACCCACTCCTCAAACCCATTGGTAGTGGAGGTTCAGGTGCCACCAGGTCTGGCTGGTATCACTGCACTGGGTGTGGGTGGCCTGAGTGTGACTCAAGGAGACACCTGGCCCTACAGACAGCGTGTGCGTTTTCTGCTGCATGGGATTGTAAGGATGGTGCAGGGGTGGAACTTATCCTTCCACACCAGCACAGATTGACACTGCTCTGCATGGGTGGCACACCCCATCTGTCCCTCGCCAGAAGACAAGCTTCTGGCCCAATTTAGCCATGGGACTGAGGGTGAGCCCCTTGTCCACTGGGAGCTACAGTTGGGAAGTGTTTTGGGGTAGCCAGCTGCTATCCAGGAGGCTGCCCAGGTGGCAGCTGGTGGCACCAGAGGAGGACTAATGCTTGGCCAGGCAAAGAGGGAAGGAGAGGAGGTTTTCAGCCCTGTCTGATGAGTTGTTAAGAGCCACTGTTGAGACACCTACTGGTGTCTAATTCAAAATTACTCTTGGGCAGTCTCATCCTGCTGTGTCATCTTGGTGACTGACCTCAAGTGGATGCTGATTTCGATGTTATCACCTATGCATTCTGCATCCATCAGTGTCTGCTGGCTCTGACTGAGCTCCAGGTGCAGTGTTGCTGCCCTCAGACCCTCTGGTGTCAGTGAGTTGCTCTGTGTCCGTCTCCTCCCTCACTTCCCTCATCCTATTGCCCCCTCCAGAGCCCTTCTGTCCTGCGCCTCCAGGAGATTACAATGCCAGGCTTCTCTCCAATGGAGTAAGCTCCCAGTGTGGATATTTGGTATGCAGTTGGAACCTTTATTCACCTCTTAAATAGCACAAGGGTATTGGGAGTTGTTGCAGAAGCACTGGGAGAGGACAGGAAGATGTAGCTGTCCTGCGGTGTCACTTGTCAGTGGAGGCCTCTGGAATGGAAGAGGTCAAATCAGATCTCGAGGGCCCATCCTTCACTGGCCTGCAAAGGTGGCTTCCTTCCACAGTGCTGACATGGAGCTGGAAGTCGGACTTGAGGGTAGCTGTGACCTTGGGCAGGGCCCTCATCTGTGCTGTGGGTGAGCACTACCCTGACCACCTCACGATGTGGGGCGCATAGTGCTCACTGGGCTTGTGAGGAAGGTGCTTTGCAGATAATTGTGCCCCCTCCATCATGGAAAGATTAAACAAAACCCAAAGCCTTGCTTGTTTGTCTGTGGAGCCTGTTTGGAATGTCGTCATGGCCCTTGGATCTTTGCTTGAGGACAGAGCTAGAGGTAAGGTACCTTAACACTGAGGGGGCTTGCTCTCTCCCAGCAGCCCTGATCACTGATATATAGAAAGCTGAGGTTCAGCTAGGCTGAGCCAGTGCAGGGGCTTTGAAGACAGACTTCCTGTCACCCCTGGTGAGTCACTCAGCAGTCCCCAGCCTCCTGCACTGGCAGCAAAGAAAAACTGGGGACACAGGTGTAGGGAAGAAATCTCTCCAAAGGAGGGCTGTGCTGTCTTTGGGATCCCATGCCAGTGACTCACCTTTGGCCTCTTCGAGGACATCATGAAGAAACTTCCCCAGGGCCTGGCCATGCTGTTGGTACTGCGGCCCTGACAGCTTGATGCCGACATCAAATGGGGCATTGAACTAGGAGAGGGGGTGATGAGGGAGGTGTCAGAGGCTGCACCCCATGCACACCCTGGCACAGACACAGCTCGCCAAAGGAGGCTTGGGGGTGGGGTGTGTCTGCAGATAGGCCAGGTGACACTCCCCCCTCTGCCTGAGCCACCCTGCTTTCAGCTGCTCCTTTACTTTCCGGTCCCCCACGTTTTCTGGCTTCAGCCTCTTGTGGGTTGCTAAAAAGCTGTGGAGTCCCCTAGCATGTCCTCTCTTCTGGTTTTGAAGGACAGGAGATTGAATTTGTTTTGTTTGTTTTTGTGGTACCAGGGATCGAACTCAGTACCTTGCGCTTGCCAGGCAGGTGCTCAAGCCGCTGAGCTATATCCCTGGCCCAGGAGATTGAATTGCTGTCAGTGGAAGTTTAAACCCTAGCAGGGAGGCTTGAGTGTGTGGCGTATCTACCCAGCATGCAGGCTGCTAGCCCAGAAGGTGATCCAGCCCCTCCTTGCCCAACTTTCTCTTCTCCTTGTCCTGCCTCTGCCTCCATCAGCTGTGCTTCCGTCTGTGGACACAAGAGACATCAAACTGGAATCTGGCTGCTTCCTAGAAGGGAGCTTCCAGCCAGGTCCTTTCTTCTTTCTGTGCCTCTGTTTTGCCCTCCTCTGGGACAGTGTCTCCTTTTCTTGGTTTCCAAGCATTCTCTGAGATGGTTCATTGCAGGTCACAGCTTTGGGGAAGACAGCAGAGAGCTTATGTGTGGCAGTGTTATAGATCTTCCTTCGCAGAGAGCAAGGACTGAACTCTAGCTCTGCCTTGTCAGTGGGCATTGTCAGCAGATGTCTGCATGTGTCCACGAAGGCCACTTAGTGCTGGAAAGGAGCCTGGTGTTCTGGTCTCCCCCACCTCACAGTGAAGCCCAGGAAGGCTTCAGGACCTGTACAAGGGCATGGAAGGGCTCTGAGCCCACCCAGCCCCAATATGCGAGGGCTGTGGTCCCATCAGTCTTTGTGGCCTGATTCCTGCTGTCATGTCACATCTTGGTGTTCCTTGAGGCTCAGAAGTCCTGATGTGGGAACTGCCATGTGGTTTCCTTGAAAAATGTGTCTCACCTTGAAGGTGGTGGAGGGCTGATTGGTGTCTTTAGGAAACTGGCACTTCTTGTTCTTTCCTTTGGACCATGCCCATTTTCCTTCTTACCCTGGGCCAGTGAGGGGTGCTCAGACCGTCTGCCAGTCCCCAAGGAAGCAGCTGGCTGGTCTGATGGGGGATGTGCCTCAAGGGACCCAAGCAAGCCCTGGAGCACAAAGGTGGCCCATGTGTGGTCCATCTGTTCAGTGCAGGTCGAGGTGTTTGTCTCAAAGCTCTTGCTGTTCTATGTGGGGGATCTTTGAGAGCGATGGAAGGGCCTGAGATGGGGAGGTGGAGTCAGAATGGAGGAGTCTGGAGGCACTCAGGGCTCGGGCTGTGCCGTGGACTCCTGAGTCCTTGCCAGTTGTACCCCTGGCTTCCAGGCACCCTTGCTGGCTCTGGCCAAGGGCTACTGTTTCTCCAAGGCCAGTTAACCTGATGCTGGGCTTCTTGGTAGCTGGCCTGGGCTTGAGACTGCTTTCCCACCTGAGCTAGTGGAGCTCCTTGCCTTCGGGAAGCCTGCTGCTGTGAGCTTGAGGGCTGCTGACCAAGACTTCCACACCATGGAGGAAGGCTCCTATCTGGGGAGGGTCACAGAGGATGGCCTTGGGGAGCTCCAGGCCACTTTCCTGTGACTGGGACTGGAGCAAAGGACAGGACCTGGAAAGCTGCAGGGTAAGACTCCTCCTCAGACAGCAGGAGGGCAGGTTTGTAGTGGGCCCCAACCAGGGCCCTGGCTGCACCCCTCCACGCCTCAAATTTCCCTCTCTGAATAGATGTCTCCTGTCTACACAGAGGATCATAACACCATGCCTGCGACCCTGTGGATTGATAGAGATTCAGTAGCACATAATAAGGTAGGACGTCAGCTGAGGTGTGGCTCAGTGGTAGGAGGCTTGCCTAACATAGACATGCCCTGGGCTCGATTCTCAGTGCCACAAAAATAAAAAGGTAGAAAAGTTAGCAGAGGAGACCATTGCATGGGTGAGAGGCCTTTCCTGCCATGTCCTGGGCACTGGCTCAGAGTCCTCTTGCCTGCCTTCTCCACATACTACTCTTGCAGCCCTTCCCTGACTGCAAGATCGAGGAGGGTCTGGGGTCCAGTGGGCACAGTCAGCATGGCCAGCTTCCTGGAGACCAGAAAGCTGTGTCCTCGGGATAGCCCTGCCGTGTTCAAGGGGCTGCGGGGCTGTGGGGCTGTGGGGTTGTGGCCTGTGCATTCCCCGCCACACAGGTGGCATCTTCTGTGGCTGCAAAGGCTTCAAACCTAGCCCATCCCAGGCGACACTGCCCCCTCCCCACGCACAGCTCCCCAGATTTGAGGAGCTGCATGTGGTGAATAGCACCCCTCTGTGCCCCTTGGTCAGTCCAGGGACAGCCCTGCCCCAGCACAGCTCCAGGAAAGCCCCCCACTCATCCCAAAGCCTGCTGTGACCCTCATCTGGTAACTGGAGGAGCAGGTTGCACTGTGGGAGAGGTGGTGACATGGGACTGCTGTGAAGATGTGCAGAACTCCAGGCACAGGGCACAGGGCACAGGGCACATGCCTGCAATCCAGTATCCCAGGAGAAAGGCAGGAGGACCACAAGGTCCAGCCTGGCCTGAGCAGTTCAGCAACTTAGCAAGACCCTGATGCAGAATTTTAACAAGATGGACTGGGCATAATGGCTCACACCTATAATCCTAGCACTCAGGAAGCTGAAACAGGAGGCTCTCTGTGAATTTGAGGCCACTCTGGGCTACAAAGTGAGTCCAAGGCTAGCAAGGGCAGCGGTGGAGCTCAGTGCAGAGGTCTGAGTGATGGGCCAGCACAGAGCAGGTGCAGCAGTGGGCGTTGCTGGAAGAGCTCGAGACCCTGCACGGGCTGTGGGCCCAGCCGTTGAGGCATGGATGGGGTTGGCAGAGAGCAGAGCCCCTAACAGCAAGGCAGCTGCACTTTCCACTTGTGACCTCAGTCCACATTGAGGGAGCACAACATGAGGGGCGCAGCAGGGCAGCAATCGCCGCTGCTGGCTTACCCGAGGGATCCCAGCCTCGCTCAGCGACCTGTGTCCCCTAAAGCTTCCAAGCTAGGGCCAGCCTCAAAGACAGCCCCATCTCATCCTTTTACTCCTTCCTGCTAATCCTGCACTGTCTCTGCAGGTTTTCCTTGTCCCGTACAAGATTTGTCACAGCCAAGTGTCATGGTGCACTCCTATAATCCCAGAGCTCTGGGAGGCTGAGGAAGGACGATCCCAAGCTTCAGCTAAGCCCTGGCACTTCAGTGACTCAGCAAGACCCTGCCTCAAAATCAACATGGGCTCATAGCTCAGTGTAAAGGTACTAGGTTCAGTCCCTGGTACCAAAACCAAACAGGCCTGATCTACTTTGTCTACACGTGGGGGAAGCAGTCTGCTCCCCTGTGTTCCTTTCTGTCTCCAAGCACTCCATCCCTGCATTCCGGCCTTCGAGGCCCCTCTGAGACCGCCTGGTCAGCCCCCTCCCCCAGTGCCTTTCCTCCCTGATGCTGTCCTATGCTCCTGTGCTCTTATGGAAAAGTTACTTCTAGATATTTTTTTCTGGGGAAAGACTGCATGGAGTTGTGTGCAAAGCTCAGCCGTTGGGGCTAGTTTATAGCTTCTGGGCAGCTTGGGGACAGTACTCTGGTCACAGCTGCCTCTCTGCCCCACACTACAACCATGAAGCCCTTGGATCTGCGGGGCACAAACCTGGATCTCCAGGTCCTCTGCCACGTCCGCCTGCCCTCTGCCCTCTGGGTGGAGCCAGTCTTCCAGCGCTCGGGGCTGTAGTCTGGCAGATGGCTTCTTGGACTCCTTCCTCTGCTGGGAGGGAGAGAGGTGTTCCTTAGCCCCTGTGGCCTAAGGAGTGCTGTGCACTGGGGGGGCGGCTTGGCTGCTAGCGAGTGGCAGGATCTGTATGTGGTCACAGCAGGAGCCAGGGAAAGCACTCACCTGGGCTCTCTGATGCTCGGGGCTCAGGAAGCTCGAGCCAGCCATGGCCAAGTCCACCCAAAGCACGCCGAGGAGCAGCAGGCTGCAGAGGGTCCCCGCCGAGATCATGCCTCCGTGGATGGGATGGGACAGCTGGGCCTGAGGGGAGAGTCTGGGGCAGCTTGCCACGCCCTCAATGGGGCTGCTGGGACTTTTGACTTGTGTCTGTGACTACTGAGGAGCAAGGGCCCCTCTGGGCATCCCTAAGGTGGGAGAGAACAGGCTGTGTGCTGCCTTCCAGAACAGAGCTGGGCAGGAAGCTCCACTAAGCTGTAGGATCTCTGAGGCGGATGGAGGCTGCAGCGTCTGCCCCCGACTCATCTCCCAGGCCTAGAGGAGCCTGTGCTGGGATTTTCTTCACTGGCTGAGGAAGCCAAACCAGCAAGGTCCCCTGAGGATGTGGGGGTTGGGACAGCACCTGCAGAAAGCTACTGAGCAACCAACCTGACCAAGGCCATCTGGTTGAGATATACCCGCTGAGGCCCAGGGGAAAGAGTGAATGACCAGCACGCACATACAAGCTAAGCCTGGACACGCACGTACACACACAAAAGGAGTCAACGGCTGTACCTACCTGGACTCTGGTGGAGGTGGTGCACAGGGCTGGGCCGGGCCTTATATAGGAAGACTACTGTTTGCTTTCATCCAGTGAGCCCATCTCCTAGGTGGCCCAGCTGCCTTGGGCTGACTGACATTCCTTGGAAACCAAAAATGCCCCCTACCTCAAGAACGATCAATCGATTCAGGCACCCTTGAGATGGCTGGGTTGGCAGGGTACAGCATGTGTGTGCCTGCCCCAGCTGACCCTGCCCACAAGCACAAAGATATGGCATTTGGGGTTGTTTGTCTATGTTTTTGGTCTTTTTTTTTTTTTTTTGAGACAGGTTGTCACTATGCAGTTCAGGCTGGCCTTGAATTCACTTTGTAGCCCAGGGTGGCCTCTAACTAGCAGAGATCCTCCTGCCTCATCCTCCTGAGTACTAGGATTGTAGGTATGCACCTCCACACTGGCCTACTGTGGGGTTTTGTTTTGTGTTTTTGCTGTGTTGGGAATGGAACCTGGGGCTTCATGCATGCTTAGCACTGAGTTACACCCCTGGCCGGCTGACAGCAGAGGCTGCTCCCTGTGCTAATGGTGCCCATTCTGGGCGGGACCTGATCACAGCCAGAAGGGGCAGTCTTGTGTTGTGGGCCTGGCTCGGGTCCTCCTGTGCTGTCCCCATAGGCAGGTCACATCACTGATTCCCCAGGCTTAGGGCCTACATTGCAGACCCCTAAGGACTAGGGGTTGGGCAGCGAGGGCATTTATAACCCGGAAGAACCCACCAGAAGGTAACGGCTGGTGTCGCCCATACACAGGGCTTGGGAGGACGTCCCTCACCATCGCCTGGAGAGCCCGGCGGCCTGGGGTCCTGGCTTCCTGGGCATCATCATGCTGGTACCCAGGTCGAAGTGAGCTGTCTCAGAGGGCCCCAGCTATCTGGAGGGATGTGCGGGGAGAGACAACTGCAAAGTGAGGCGAGAGCTGGGAAGTCTTCAAAGCCCCGGGAAGAAGCTGTACTCTGTAGTTCACTGGAAGGTAAACTGATCCGCCAGGAGGGCTGTGCCTCCCCCAGAGCCACACAGCTCTGAGGCACACTGCGTCAGTGTCTCTGATTGGCTCTCCTCGGCCAGCAGCGTGGTGAGCAGGACACTGGCAGCAAAGTCGATGTCCACATGACTATGTGACCTACCAAAAGGACTGGGGGTGGGGTGCAAAGTGAGGACAGCTGGAAGCACAGGCTGGGCTGGGCCGAGCCCCTCAGTAGAGTGGGGGACTAATGGGGGACTAACTCATGGAGAACAGCCCATCTTTAATCCCAGAACAGTATGACACCAGGGCCCTGGGACTCTGTCACTGTCTGAGCTCAGCCCTTTGTCCTGGAGATGGAGGCTGGGGAGAGAAATCTGAAGCCCTCAGAAGGGACCTGGAGACTTTTCCAGACCACATCCCCCAGCTCTCCAAATAGAGCTCCCTGAACTCTGGTGAGTGGTGCAGGGTGAGCTGCCTTTTGATCTTAGATACCTGGCCTCGAGCAAACACTGGCACCCACATTATCTCAGAACAGTGTGGCCCCCTTGGAGTGGCACCTGGCCACATGCTGTGGAGTCCAGAGTGACAAAGGTGGCAGGAGATGAGATGCCCAAAAGGCTGCACAGCCCACCACAGCTGTTGGATGGGGAAGAAGTGGGGGTCCCCAGGCTTCGGCTGGCCTGGGGGGAGGGTGTGAGGCCACTTCCAGGCTCTGTCAAGCCTGGATAATGAGCTGGCCCTGGCCAGCAGTGGTGGCTTCTGCAGCTCAGCAGGGCTGGGTGGCATTGGCTTCTCTGTGGTCTCGGTGGGGGGCAGGTTTCCTCCCAGTGTTCCCCGAGGAACCGCCCAGTGCAGGCAAAGGCCCTGTCTCTGCTGAGCCCAGCTGCCTGTGCGTGCTGCCTGAGGGCGAGTTCTCCGTCCTACTGAGGGTTAGATGGCTCGCCATGCACTCCCCGCTCTGGGACACTGGGGAGCAAGCCCAGGGCTACCGTACCACTAGGCTACATCCCGGCCCTTTTTAGTTTGAGGTAAGAGTCTTGATGAGTTGTCAAGCATGTACTTGAACTTTTGATCTTCCTGCCTCAGCCTCCTAAAGAGCCGGGATTCCAGTTGTATGCCACTGTGCCTGACTTACTTTTTAAATCAGTTCAGCCACTTTTGTCTAACAGAGGCCATGTGGGGTTATGAAAGAAGTTTTATTCCTGGAGTTTGGGGTTGGGTGGTTTCTTTCTCTCCTGACTCCCATGCCTTCTAGATTGGCACTTTCCAGTAGAACCATGACACTCTCCTCCTGAGGGCTATCCTCCCGAATATAATAAATGTTCTAGTTTATTTAACCTGTATGTCAGCTCAGTGTAACTCATTATTAGCACAATATTTGACTTGTTAAAATCTCAAGCTTTGAAGCTCAGCAGTTTGACTCTGGCAGCACATTTGGGTGGGAGCAGGCGCCCTGCAAGTGTCCCTAGCTACGCCAGCCCCAGGCTCCGCGGTGAGCCCTGTGGGGGCTGTGGCTCTCGGGCTGGGTGAGGCCCAGCTCCTGGCCCCAGGCCTGTGCAGCTTGCTGGATGCTGAGGAAGCACTGGCAGTGCAGACTTTTTAGGTCTTATCTAGTCCGTCTGGG